TTACTCTGTCTACCTAGAAGAAATTCTCAGACTTGAGTGAATAAAAGAATGAGTGAGTGGGTTTTGAAGATGCAGATTTATAGATTCCAGATTCTAAATCCTAGAGGCTCCCTTCTGCCGGTCTGATGTGGAACCCAGATATTTGCATAATTAATAAGAACCTCAGGGGATGCTGATAGCTGATAGCTGTAGAAGACTACTTGTTGTTGCTGTTGTTTCGTTGCTAAGTCGTGTCTGACTCTTTTGTGACCCCAGGGATTGTAGCCGGCCAGGCTCTTCTGTCCATGGGATTTTCCAGACAGGAATACTGACGTGGGTTGCTGTTTCTTCTCCAGAGGAATCTTTCTAACCCAGGGATCAAATCTACATCTCTTGCCTTAGCAGGCAGATTGTTTACAACTGAGCGACCAGGGAAGCCCAAGAAGACTGCTTATAAGACAGTACTTTTAGCCATCCTAGCATTTATTTCAACCTGTGTTCACTTTTATTTAATTTTTTTTTATGCATTTGTCTTCTCTAACAAGACTGTAACTCATTGAATGCCTACTATGTTCTAGTTTTTAGGCTTGTTTTTTTATTTTTTATTTTTTATTTTTTTTATTTTTATTTTTTTCCATTTATTTTTATTAGTTGGAGGCTAATTACTTTACAACATTGCAGGCTTGTTATAGTTGATAGTCACAAACCTAAATATATTCTTCCTTATTTTGTAGATGACAAAACTAAGGATCCCTTGAGTCCTGTACTCAGAGCTGGTAGTTTTCTGAGATCAGTCCACTTCCACATCTGTTGGGATCCAAAAGCTTTGTTCTTCTTATGGGCGTGCTACTACCCATGCATGGTGAAAACTTTGCCAACTTAATATTTGAGTGAATTTAAGCACTAGAAAATCGTATATATAAAATTGAACTCAGCCTTACAGTACTCAGGGAAGAAATCATTCATTTTAAGCAGCCAAAAACCCTAGGTGTACATTCATTTAGTAACCGCTTTTCTCCCTGGTGATTTATTTTCAGATTCTTCTCTCATTTTCCTCCCCCCTCCCGCTCCCTCACTTTCCCTTTGTATTCCTTATCCTCCACTGTATCTTACTGATCAATAATCTGAACTAAAATGTGATGTGTAGAGAGAAAGTACTCAAAATAAGCATATGCATTGCAATTAAGCAAAAGCTCTTTTTCAAGTCATAAAGCTTCTATTTTTCTTAGTGACTTATTTGAAAATTGTAGTACTTTCTGAAGAGGCCCCATGACCAATGAGAGCATGTTATAGCCTGAAGGTATTCATACTGTAGCCATTTTTTTAATGAAGTATTATATGAAAGTGTGTTCAGTGTAGTTAGAAAAGAAACCAAAATGAAGATGTGTAGAAAATGAGATAACTGATTTTCTCACATGAATGCCATACCCCTGTGTAAATGGTCCCTGATATTCAGTCAGCCCCCTACATACAAACCTTCAAATTGTGAACTTTCAAGGATGCAAACGTGCATTTGCATGTCCAATCACATAAGTTGATGTGTGATTAACTAACATAAGTTAGTCCGTGTGTCTGTAAGATTACTGTAAGATTAAAAGTGGTTTCTTTATATTTTGTGTGTTTGTCTCTATGTATTGTTTTTGTGAAAAGTGTTATAAACCTATTAACAGTACAGTACTATATAGCCAATTGTGTTAGTTGGGTACCTAGGCTAACTTTACTGAACTTAATGAACAAGTTGGACTTATGAACACGCTCTCAGAATGGAACTTGTTCATATGTGAGGGACTTGCTGTAATTGTTGCCCCTTGTTGCCGCCACTAATGTATGTTTAATTGCTTTTGTAACCTGTAAATTAGAATGGAGCGGAAAAAAAATTCTGGAAGAGTTGGTGCTCTTAAGTAACTTGTGAGATTAACACAAAAAGCATGTATTAAAAGCCTACCTACCACACAGGCTGTCAAAGATTTACAGTTTGGGGAATTTCACTGGAATAATAATCCAAGATTCCGCTTGTAAGAAGGGACTTCTGTACTATATACTGTCCTTCAGGACCTTTCTCTGGAAAAGCATCTTGAGCTCAAGAATTATGTCAGATTTGTAAACTAAGAATTTGTTGTAGAAAAAGTCCTCCCTTACCTGATTAGCTCCTGTAGGCACTAGTTCTTGCTTACTCATGGCTCTGGGCAATTATGCAGCCCTGCACACTTCATTTTCCTTATCTGTAGGAGAAAGAGGCATTGAGTAACAACCAATTCTAGAACTAGTGTTATTATGGGGATTACTGAAACAATGGATCTATGACACTTGGCAGACTGCTGGTGTTATTATTTTGTTAGCAGCCACTACCAAGGGGCATTATCTAGTACTTCACAGTCAGGCTGCTGGAGAACTGGATATACACACCCTTGGACTGTAAGCCACAAAAGTGATTTTATGAAAACCGAGCAATGCATTTAAGAGCTGGACAGCTGCAAGTTGTAAACCTCAAGTCATGAACCAGCTTGCACACTAGTTCAAAGATGGGATTTGTAAATGAGTGCCATTGTTTTTCTTCCTTTATTTCACACGTATTAAAGTGTTTCAAATGGTGGTCGTACTTAAGCCTACTACAGAAAGCCTGGGCTTTTCAGGGCTTGAAAATACAGGTAAAAAAATTAATGTTGCTTCTTTTCAAAGTATTTTATTTTTACTGTTCTTGTTTCTAAGTGTTGTTTTCTCTAGATACTAGATATTGGCCAGGGTAGGGAGAATACAAAGAATCCAAGTCAGTGCGTTTGGGTATTTGCAGCCATCCTGATTTAAAGATTTGTAGACATTTGCAGTGAATATGAAATTGTAGGTCATTCATTCACTCAATGAACATTTCAGTCAGGAATTATGATTATTCATAAGATCCCCCCCTACTTTCCATTAGTGAAGTTTGCCACTATAAAATATTGTTTGATTCTAGAGTGTATTCTTTGCATGGACTAAATAAATTAATAATCATTTTACTCAGACCTGATCCCAAAAGATCCAGACTTTGCAAAAGGGGAATGCCAGGTATTGATAGAAAAGAAAGCTTATGGTGAAGTGGGGGAACTTACTTTCCAAATCTAATTCTTTCCCCTCTGTTAGACGTCATGGTCTCTCCCTAGTGGGAGGTTGTGCTGTGCTGTGGTAAGTCACTTCAGTCATGTCTAGCTCTCTGCAACCCTGACAGGCTCCTCTGTCCATGGGATTCTCCAGGCAAGAAAACTGGAATGGGTGGGTAGCCATTCCCTTCTCCAGGGGATCTTCTCGACCCAGGAATCAAACCCAGGTCTCCTTATTGCATGTGGATTCTTTACATCTGAGCCACCAGGGAAGCCTAGTAAGGAGTTAAAATGAGCTTTGGAACTGGAACAGTGGATTGGAGCTGTTAGACTATGGAAAAAGAGATTGAACCAATGACATCTTTGTACTCCTTCAAAGGAAATTGTATGTATTTTTTTCTCTCTCTGCTCATACATTTTAAAAAATTGAAGTATAGTTAACTTACAATGTTATGTTAGTTTCATGTGTACAACAAACTGATTCAGTTATATGTATGTATGTGCATCATGCGTGCTAAGTCACTTCGGTTCTCCAACTCTTTGCAACCCTGTGGACTATAGCCCACCAGGCTCCTCTGTCTATGGGATTCTCCACGTGAGAATATTGGAGTGGGTTGCCACTTCCTCCTCCAGGGGATCAAACCCATGTCTCCTGGGGCTTCTACATTGCAGGTGAATTCTTTACTTCTGCGCGACTGGGAAAGCCCATGTATGTGTGTGTGTATGTGTGTATTCTTTTCTAGATTCTTTTCCAATAAAGGTTATTACAATATGCTGTGTATAGTTCTCTATGCTATGCTGTAGGTCTTTGTTGTTTACCTGTTTTATATGTAGTATTGTGTATATGTTAATCCCAAACCCCTAATTTATCTCTCCCCTTGCCTCCTGCATCCTCTTTGATAACCATAAGTTTGTTTTCTATGTTTGTGAGCCTGTTTCATTTTTATAAATAAGTTCATTTGTATCCTTTTTCTAGATTCCACATATAAGTGATATTATATGATAGTTGTCTTTGTCTGATTTACTTGACTTAGTATGATAATCTCTAGGTCTATCCATGTTGCTGCAAACAGCATTATTTCATTCTTTTTTACAGCTGAATAGTATTCCATTGTATATACATACCACATCTTCTTTATCCATTCTTCTGTTGATGGACATTTAGGTTTCTTTTATGTCTTAACTGTTGAGAATAGTGCTGCTGTGAACATTGGGGCACATATATATTTTCTAATTAGTTTTCTCCTAGGAATGGGGTTGCAGGATCATATGATAGTTCTTTCTTTAGTTCCTTCATACTGTTTTCCATAGTGGCTGTGCGAATTAACATTTCCACTAACAGTGTGGGAGGGTTTCCTTTCCTCCACACCCTCTTGAGCATTCATTATTTGTAGACTTTTTAATGGCCATTCTCACTGGTGTGAGGTGATATCTTATTATACTTTTCATTTGCATTTATCTAATAATTAGTGATATTGTTTGCTCATACATTCTTAGAGTTAGAATATCTTAATCATCTCTGATCACCTCATAATGCCCACTAGTGTGCTTGTCCTGTCAGCTGAGGCCTAATGATGATTTGTCAAATAAATGTACACATCTTTATAAAATATCAATTTCCTTGGTCAAGACTGCAAAATCCAAGGAGTGTTCATGGTTTTTGTCTTCTGATCCCTGTATCCCTCTGCTGAAGTCTTCCCTTACCCTCTCTGGAATTTTGAAACTCCATTTACAATGTCCTTTATTTGCTAATAATTCTAATTTTGAAACAACAAAATCCCAGGGATATCAATTAACTGCCATGCTTCAGATGATATATATTTTAATGTTTTAAGATTTGAGATATTTCTGATTGGTTATAAAAATAAAATAATATACTCTTAGACACCCTTCCATCCATCTATCTATCCATTTATCTATCCATTCATCTATTCACCCATGCAGGCAAAAAGTTCTCAGCACCACCTCCATACCAAGCATCATTCTTCATGTTGGGTGGGGGCACCAGTGAACAAGACAGACCAGCTTCCTCTCTCTCAGGGCTTACAATTTCCTGGGGGCTGTGCACAGGATCTAAATGCTATGACACGGGAAAACCCTGGATGCAGTGGAAGCCATGGACACCCACCCCATTCAGGAATGCAGTGAATGGGGACACAGCCCTGAAGAAGTGACATGTGACCTAAGGTCTGAAGGTGGAGCAGGAATTATCCAAGTGAGGAGGAGGAGGGTAAAGTACTAGACTGAAGACAGTGTAGGTGTGAATGTTTAGATGTAAAAGTACTTGTCCCCTCTGAGAAGCTGAAAGTAATTCCCAAAGGTTAGAACAGAAGAATATGAATGAGGATGACCTTCCAGTTCTCTTTAATAAATTAGTACAGCAGGAGAAAATTGTTACCATTAGTATAGAAGGTGTTGTTATTGTTGCTTAGTCACTAAGTCATGTCCACCTCTTTTTTGATCCCGTGGACTGTAGCCCACCAGGCTCCTCCGTGCATGGGATTCTCCAGGCGAGAATACTAGAGTGGGTTGCCATTTCCTTCTCCAGAGGATTTTCGCAACCCAAGAATCCAACCCAGGTCTCCTGCATTGCAGGTGGATTGTTTACCACTCAGCTACCTGAGTAGACCATAGTAGGTGTATTAGGCAGCAATATTGGGATGCTTGTTCCCCGCCTAGTGCTTGGGACATGAAAGGTACTTAGTAATCATTTTCTGGCTGATTGGCCATGAGAATGACTGTTCAGTACCATGTAAAAAGCTTCACACTTTGATTTCTGCCTTTCAGTATCTTTTCATCTTATTGTGGGGCTAGAGGGGAAAAAAATTTTAAGAACAAAAAGGTTTTAAAAATCATGTAAGAAGCAACGAAGTTTGGTTTTAATGGGTTTAAATTCCTGAGTGGGTGGATGGTCAAGTGGTGAGTGGAGGAGACATATGGGGATGGGGGGCAGGGCAGGTGTTGGTGTGATGAACTGGGCTGTAATTGGGATCCAATTTCCCACCTATGGAGATTAAGTCAGCTTGGTCATGGACCCCTCTCCCTCTGTTAAGTAAGCTTTGGTGAGGAGACTAGGTGGTGATTTGTTACAACTTGAAAGTAACCTTTATTCTCTGAGCCCAAAGTACCAACAGACAGCCTTCTACTCCTGGAATCTCTAGCCTAGAACCCCAGTAATATTGCCACTAAAAATCTCAGGCACAATATTGGGCAGAGGTACAGAAATTTCTAAGTTAGAACCCTCCTGGGAACTCCAGAATATATGATCATTATAGGCATGGATTTTCAAATTGATGTGGTGACCAGTTTTAATGGTACCTTAGGTCTGGGAATATAGACTTTAAACCAATGTGCCCTTGTTTTAAATAATGAGTTTGCCTGGTACCAGCAGTGTGATTTTTGGCAAATGTCTTCACCTCTTACCAAAGCCTTAGTTACTCTATCTGAAAATGGGGATAATAATGCCTTCTTAAGAGTTATTTGGCTGAGTCAATGAAAAAAATGAACATTCCATGAGTCTTGGGACCATGCCTGTGACAAAATATATATTAAATAATAATAGTGTTATCTGAAAATGGGCATAATAATACCTTATTGAGGGTTATTTGACTGAGTCAATGAAAAAATAAAAGATCATCCAGTGAATTTTGGGATCATACCTGTGGCAATATATATACTCAATAAAAATATTGTTAATTGATAATAAATTAGCCTAGTGTACGGAGCTAATCAAACCCTTCCACGAGTATATAACCACTTGAAGTCTTTGACTTTCCAAGTACCCATCATTCCAAAGTCAATAAATGTGTTTTTGTTCTCAGTTTAGCCTTTTATCAGGATTCGCAAAGTCACTGATTAGACTGGCACTTAGACGCCAACCTGCGAAAGCATTTGACTTTGTCAGTATTGGGAAAATATTTGTAAAATAGCACCGTCAATAAATAAATATACTGTAGACTTTGAGTCGCTTAAAAAAAAAAAAATGTTCCGGGGGTAAAAAAAAAAAAAAAAAAAAAATTCTGGACGCCCAGTGCTCCCTGGGTTTGGTTTAGTATTTAGAGAAAAAAAAAATCCCTGAACTGAGCAGAGAAAAAAAAAAAAAAAAAAATTCTGGACGCCCAGTGCTCCCTGGGTTTGGTTTAGTATTTAGAGAAAAAAAAAATCCCTGAACTGAGCAGAGAGATAAGCGCCTTGACTTGCTGTAGATTAAGAGACCTGCATTGGTGAGAACAAACCAGTCCCGAGTGCCGCCACGTTTAGATTTAAGATTAACTGCAGCCGAACGGTGGAGCGGCTGTTTGTTTTATGAAACAATCGCTAATGACATTAAACAGACGGGGCCCCTTCCAACATGATTGTTCATTTGCGATAAACTGAGAAGGCGCTCACAAATTGAAAAAGAAGACTCAGAAGTGCTTCATTTTGAGGCTCTCGGGGTATTCTATGGGAGGTGACAGCGAATGGAAGTGAGTGGAGCCTGATTCAGAGCCCAGAGAGGGAAGGAAGGAGACCTCGGAGCATCAGTGTAAAATGGCTGGCTTTTATATTTATCTTAAGGAATTAAGTAATCATCATTTCCTGACAAGTGTTCCAAGGAGATTTCTATCTGTCTTTCTTTTTTTAATGTTATTTATTTGTTCATTTCTCCTACTCCCCCACCTCCTGGCAGCCTGAAGCTGGCGCTAAGCATTAGCTGTATTAAAAGGAATGCTGTCTATGAGTTCAATTAGACATTAGACATTTGCTTTTCGATCGACTTGGAGCCCAATTTGATTGAGGTCCAGCCATTTAAAATGAAGCGAGCAGAACTGTGCACAGATATCTGCTGCTCTGTAGTCTTAATTGCAAATTCAGATAAGGATTAGACAGGACTGTATCTCTTTCCACCAAAGGTATTTGTTAATACCTGAGATACGGAGGTGGTTAGATTCTCCACTTACCAATTCAGGCTTGCACTTTCAGATTTCTGTTGAACTTCCAATATTTTGGTTGAAAACAACACAATTTGCCCCAGCATTAAGAGGATGTATGTGGATAACATCTCAAGCCTCACTTGCATTTCCATTATTTGGATCCAGCTAAAAATTGAAATAGTGTTTATTTTAAAAAAAAAAAATTGTCAAAGGCCTCGTTGCAGCGTTAAGCTTTTGTTTTATCCACAAAGAAATATATTAATGAAAAGGGTTTTAAGTGCTTATTATAGAGATGGTTTGTTTTGAAACATGGGCTTTTTCACAGCAGTTTTTCACTTCATTGTGTATCATGAAAGACATTCTAAGTAGCGGTTGTCAGTCTCCCATCAGAAGTAAAGTACTGCTGGGGAATGGAGCCATTTAGGATGCCACTCAAGCAGGACTAATCTAGAGTAGATATCTTATAAATAACCAGTAACGAAAAAACAAATCATTCCTCTCCCCACCAGAGCAGAGAGAATTACTGCTTAGGAGAAGGAAATCTTTATAATAAAGATTTACAGTTTGAATTAGTGAATTGTCTGGAGCCATGCATGGCACAAAGTTGCAATGACAACCTTTAGATGGGAGTTCAGGAAGCTGGCGCAATGCCTTTATGAGGAGCGGGGAGGGCCCCTGAATACCTGCCTCTCTCTGCTCTTAGGGAGGTGGAGGTGGATACCCCAGAATCTCACCAGTTTGGAGATATAGGTTTATGATAGTATTTTTCAACCTCTGCACTCCGACCTCTCTTCCTCTTGCTCCCTATGTATGTTTTCAGAATTAAGAAGAATGACTATTTTTTGGTGTAGAAAATTGCATACATTTAAAGTGATGATAGGGACCTCCCAGATAGTCCAGTGGTTAAGACTCCACACTTCCAATGCAGGGATCCCCAGGTTCAATCCGTGGTTGGGGACCTAAGATCCCACAGGCTGCACAGCAAGGAAAAAAAAATTTTAAATTTCAAAAAGTACAGTGAGTATTCTCTTGTGACTTTTGTCATGTCCACTGTCATTATTTCACTCTTGAATTTCTAGAAATAAATACTGGCGTCTATGTTTATTGGTAGATATTGGTAGATACTTGCAGGTTCCCTGCTTTTGGAAATCTGACCCATCTCCCCTCTCTTGCCTTACCTTCTGCTTTTTAGATAATTTTATTTGGTTACTTATTTTGGGTGTGCTGAGTTTTCATTGCTGCTTGTGGGCACATCCCGGCTGTGGTGCAGTAGCTCCTCTTGTGGTGGAGCAGGGGTTCAGGGCATGAAGACCACAGTAGTTGGGGCATGATGCTCGGTGATTTCAGGCCCCGGGCTCTAGCGCACAGGCTCAGCAGTTATGGCGCACAGGCTTAGTTGCTCCGCAGCCTATGGGATCTTTCTGGATCAGAGATGGAGCCCATGTCTCCTGCCTTGGTAGGCGAATTCTTTACCACTGAGCCACCAGGGAAGCCCTTGCTTGCCCTCTTTTAAAGTACCACAAAGGAGCTATCTCTCAATTCCCAAGGTGGGAAAGAGGCTTTATCAAGACCTGAGAGCTTTCTCTGTCAAAGAGGGAGAATCTGATTTTCTTGATTTGGATGAGTACACCTTCCTCTCGTTGAAGCTCCTGTTGTATCCAAGCTGTGGTGACATGCAGAGGGATGAAGGAGTTTGTTCTGCTGGTTCACATCCTCTCAAGACCCCGACTCCAAATCATTCTCTGATTCCAAGACCAAGAAAGTGCTATTTCCGGGGTCTTTGCTATGTCTACTATAACATACTACTCTGATAGCCTAGAATACAGAGAAAAAGAGGGAAGAACCTTAAATGATACATCACTTTTTGTTAGTCATTCAATTCTGATGGCTTTTTAAATTTCAAAAAGTACAGTGAGTATTCTCTTGTGACTTTTGTCATGTCCACTGTCATTATTTCACTCTTGAATTTCTAGAAATAAATACTGGCGTCTATGTTTATTGGTAGATATTGGTAGATACTTGCAGGTTCCCTGCTTTTGGAAATCTGACCCATCTCCCCTCTCTTGCCTTACCTTCTGCTTTTTAGATAATTTTATTTGGTTACTTATTTTGGGTGTGCTGAGTTTTCATTGCTGCTTGTGGGCACATCCCGGCTGTGGTGCAGTAGCTCCTTTTGTGGTGGAGCAGGGGTTCAGGGCATGAAGACCACAGTAGTTGGGGCATGATGCTCGGTGATTTCAGGCCCCGGGCTCTGGCGCACAGGCTCAGCAGTTATGGCGCACAGGCTTAGTTGCTCCGCAGCCTATGGGATCTTTCTGGATCAGAGATGGAGCCCATGTCTCCTG